ATCCGAGCATGGCTTGTGGACAAAAGACGACATGTAGACTGTGCCAAACTGACCATCGTGTTTAAAGCCAGTGGCGTTTAGGAAGACATTGATCACCACCCAGTTTCGATAGACGCAAGTCACTGCCTCATCCAACTGGACGAGCTACTTAAGAACTGATATCTTTACAACCAGAAAGACATCTTAATCAGTTGCAGCACTCGGAAGCAAGCTTAGTTTGTGGCAGTTTGTGGCTCTTGAGGCAGCGTCGGGAGGGGGGTTGTAATCCGCTGGAATATAGGCGGTACATACAAACAAGCAGCATTCTGCGTGGATCAATGCGTCAACTTAAATTGATGCTGTAAAGCGGGTGTCACATAAACGAGTGTTCACGGGAACCCAATCATCAACCAGTGAAGATTCAGCCCTAGAGCGGTGGTTCGCTCATTAGTGTCTCTGAATGTGCGGCATTAATAGCTAAAGGCTGGGTGAAATTAGTTCCATTACAACGCGAACAACATGAATCCTTGGTTTCAGACGCGAGAGAAATGCCGTACTAATGCGCGCGTAAGCACCGTTTGTTAGCCCATATAATCTAAAAATAAGATAAAATTAAATCGCCAGCTGTACGCCGTAACGGAGCTTCGCTGCCATGCGACCACCACCAACCGCGCGTGCGCTGAGTATACCGCGAGGATTCCTGCCCCTATGCAGATTTCAACCGGTGACCTCATGATTGCAAGCTAGGCGTGCATACCACACGTCCACAGGCCGATTAAATCGTCAGCTGTACACCGTAACAGCGTTTCGCTGTCGCGCGACCACCGTCAGTCGCGCGAGCTGAGTATACTGCGAGGACACCCGCTGCTAGGCGGATTCGAACCGGTGACTTTATGGTTGTAAACTAGGCGGGCAGACCACTCGGCCACCGGCCGACGCCCATATATTTGAAACTGTGAACGCTGAAGATAGCTAGGAAACAGAGTAGCAAGCCCTGAGGAACGCCAGTTTGTTATGTAACACAAATGAGTATTGTGGCGACACGGATGCGGATGACAAATCTCCAACCATATTACGACTGACAACAAGAGTTGGGGACAAGGAAAAAGGAACTAGTGATGGGGACCGGAAATGTGATGGAGTGCGGTGACAGATTACACGGAGATCTTGTTTCCTTTATCCTTCATGCTGCACGCGGCAGACCATGTTAGCGTTTTGGAGCCACAAGATGACCGGTTCGGAATTGGGTCGAAGTCCACCGACGGTTGTAGTTAAGTTGAGAAACGGTCCAGGTACACGAAAAGACAAGAGGACGAGTGTGTAGTATAATCTTTGATTCAGAAGCAATGGGAGGGCAGGGGGAATAAAGGGACAGTTGACAAAATAAGCCATTTCGCGCAAATGAACGATGTCAGCAGTACACCGGTCCCTTGTATCAACGCTTCGATGTCATACGATCGTTACGAGTCGCGTGTGAGGTCATTCACACCTACGCAGAATCGGTTTATCCTCTTGACCACCGGCCGATACTCGACTTAGGAGAGTAGGATATGGAATTCGTCTACTTCCAATCACCGGTCAGCATGACAGAATTAGCCACTGTGGTGTCCGAGCATACCGCTCGACACTGCTTGACATGAGGAGTACGGGAAACGTCGCACCACATTAAGATGCATTCCCATGGCGGGGTCGATTGTTGGTCGAAGTATGCAAACACTCTAAGAAAGATCGCACTTTTAATTGATATGGCGGAAGTGGAGAGTTAAAACAGAGGATCGACTAGACCTGGGGATAACATTACTGATAGTAACGTTGCTTGAATGCACTCAGTGAAACCACATAGATGATGTAAGAGGTTCAGCGTTAACACTAGAAAGACTGCTCCATCAACCTATCTGTAAGGCCTGAGACCAGCCAAAATGACCACGTTACTATGTTTATTTGTTCCGACTTTTAGTTCTGAATTTGTTTGATCACATGTCAAACACAAAGTGTAAAATACTTTTAATCTATAAATCATTGTACAGAAGCTTAAATTTTTCAAAAACCTGAAAATACTTGCACTCACTTAGTCAGAGTTAGACTTGAAACAGGTGATAGCGCAATTTGTCCACATGAGGCACAAACGATTTTTTTCACACAGAGCACATGTTCCTTGACTTGTTGTTGTAGGATGTTAGTGTGCGTTTACTTTCAGTGTTCATAATTAGTGAACTGTGTAACTCTCCACTGTTTTGCTTCAAACCCGTTGGCACCTCTTTTCTAGTGATCGGAATACTTTCCACCATACTTGTTTCTTGGAGTGGATTACTAATGTCTCACGCTGTTGATGTTGCATTCATGGTGTTTCTTTAACGCAGTTGGGCAAAAGCAATTTACACTTAATCTAAGTCAGTATAATCTGGATAAAAGTGTCCACTTTATTTGCTTTGTTTAATCCTGTTATTCTGCTGCATATGCTGTGTCAATTTTGCGTGTTTGAGTTCCCTCAAATTCGATATTGGTTGCTTGATATCCCCGATGCAGCTGCGCTTGATGTGAACGTTGTCAAGGTGCCTATATGTCTAACACCCTCTACCTCGTCCGTATTGGCTCCAGGACATTGTGAATCGTTGCAAGGGGGACGAGGTGCACGGGTCCTCGTGGTCGCGCTAGACTTAAAGTGTGGTCCCATCCTATGTGGAGCGGATTACGGCCAAGCCAGCGTCCTGTGTAGGTCTCGTACGCATGATTCCCTATATAGATAGACAGGAATGCTTCTGTTCTGCTTGTTGAAGGAGTGTGGGGCGGCTCCGTTGATGAAACGTGGCTCCCATCCACATGTCTCCCGGTCCTATTCCTTCGTGTTTACATTGGATATGGGGTGTGTAGATGTGGTTGTGGGTGGTGCAGCGCAAGCCACAAATGGTCCCTCTATAGTCGCAGGCGTCCTTTGGCTGTCCTCGTGGAGGCCATGGTTACAGGCAAATCCGAAACCGGATGCCGCCAACCATTATACCCAATGCTGCATGTGTAAAGAAGTAGTCACTTGTGATATAGCCCTTTTACGAAGAAGGGTTACATAAAGTTCACGAGATATTTGATGTCGAGTTCTGCCAGAATTCAAAACGTGCGACCGAACTTTTCAGGTTTGTTGGCCATGTACTGAAGAAGAGGACAGCGGGGGTTTAATGAGAAACAAATGCTCGTCAATTGTGGGATTTTGCGTTGGCGCAAAACACTGTTGAGAATTGAGAATAGATGCATTCCAGAATGCAGATATAAAAGCGAATTTTTCAGTTTGCAGCCTTTCACCTCTGGTAGTACGCATTTCAAAACGAAGGAACCTCAGCACTTTCTCGAATCTGTTCTTGTCAATTGTTTCCGTGAAAATAGGCAATCCGTAGCCACGGCACCACAGCGTATTCAATGTACTTCAAGCTGATAAAGCCTCTAAAGTAAATTTGCCCAATGAAAGCACATGGCTCAGGAATACTTTTGTTCCACTTGTGGTTCCATGACAGCTGACATCTAAAACTCTAAGCTTCAGTAGATATACTTGAATATGTTTCGACATCAGGAACGCAAACATTATGTCAAAAGCACTCTAGAGCTCGTAATATTTCACACGTCTGCCAGCGTAGGCAGTTGGTCATAGTATTGCGCTTGAAACACCATGTGTGGCCATCCTACAAACCGGTTGTTGGAAAATCTATTGGAGTTCACGGTATACCATCTTTTGACACGTGGACTTCGCCGGAAGATGCAGCAACGGCTGATATACTTTCATCGTTACCGCAGTCAATAATGTCCTCTTGAGAAGTGTCACTGTCAGAATATTGAGTAGCGAAGATGTTGTGATCCTCTGGGGACGCCTAGTCAATGAAATCATTATCAACATCTTATGAATTCTTGCCTCTAAACTCGTTATAGTCCACAGCAGTAAATTTTCGTTGAAGTTTATCTGTTGTTCTCTTCCTACAAGTCATAGTGAATGAAGGTCAAGAAAATTGACTGTCAGAAGTAATAATGACGTCTGAATAAACAACCAAATAAATAGATAAACTTTTATTCGCGACGATGCGAGACACATCGATATCGGCATGATTGGATATGTGCATATTTTATAGAACGCTGCTCACTGGTGGATCAAGAAAATTGCATATCAAATCAGATAAGGACAATTGGAATGACAAAGAATAGATAATATATAGTTCATTGAGTTGGAATTATGTTGGCTGGCATTTAACTGTTCTCCCACATCTAAAGCGATTGAACCACGTGAGATGGTATGATGGCAAAACATGCACTACGCCATATAAAACATAGACCTTGCTCGTTAAGTTTGGCTTGCTGTTATGGAACAATCAAACACTGTGCTCACGTTACCTACAGACACCAGCTTGCTGATGTTTTTTTTTGAAATTCGTGTTCAAGAGTGCAGGCATGTGTTTCCGGTGGTAGATTGTTCCAGACTATGGCGTACCAGTTGAGGACAAAGATGGCATACCCGCTTGTCCTGGACTTGAATTCCGCCACTGAGTTCTGTTTGTTTCATGCGTTATAGACTGCTGATTGCATTTATGTCATGTTGAGGTTAGAAATATCGGTTTCTGTGCATAATGTTAGAGAATATAACAACGTTATACTTAGTGCGCCGAAGCCAGAGGTCATAGTGACTGTCTACGGGCTTTCTCGGTAGCTCGAGAACAACTATTATTTTGCTGAAAAACCATAGCCGATGTAAAATTCAAACTTCACAGTTATAAAGCACGATCAAAATATTCCAAGTCAAGGAATCTCTTTGGAAAGCTTTTAAAAATGTGGAAACTATGCACATTCAACAACGCTGAAGGGTCAAAATGACCGCTCTGGGCGTTCTAGTGTGAAAGAAGTAAGGCAAGGTGTGCAAAGCAAGAGTTGGATTTAAAATGGACATTAAATGAATCTATGAATGTTGGAAACCAACGCTGCATAAAGTATGGAAAAACAGGCGCGGACAAAAAAGAGGGCGCGTAGTTTATGAGTGGTGTTCAGCTCACTTCAGTAGAGGCTGAATCCAAACGACCTGATGGTGAGGTAGGAGAGTGCACAGTTTCGGGAACGGAAATATTGCTGCTTCCTTCAGACTCGTCAGATTCATCGGCATAAACTTTGGGAAGTTCTGTATCGCGCGGTAGTTTCCCGTATTCGCATCCATCGCTGACGCCGTCCAAATCAGGTGAGTGCACTCGTTTAACATGCTTAGCTATATGAAAAGACAAATCGGTAAGCAGATCCCCTTCGACGCACTGGCCCCCGTCGAGACTGAGCACGCTGGCGCGAAGATGAAGGTACATGGGATGGCCACCGGTGTTTGGGAATAATTTGGTGGACACACCGATTGGAGTGGAACACCCGCCGTCCAAATGTCGCATGAGACTCCGCTCTGCTATCGAACTGAGGGCAGCTGTTTCCGAGTGCAGATCAGCAAGCAGGGTAAGAATGAAGGGGTCGTCACGACGACACTGACATGCCAAAGCTCCTTGGCCAACAGCGTAGAAACCATCTGTTAATACCTGAGAAAACAAAAGGAAAGTCAAGTGGAATGAACCAGTGAATTCCAACTACGATGTACGTCTTGACGAAGTGGTCTTACGGTCACACATCAGGCTTAGAATGTAAGTCCTCCTAGTAGGCTTCGTGGTGGAAAAAGGTAAGATGACCCAATTGTGATAGCAGACTGATAATTATAGACATCAACCGAAAATGATAGCGTTAAATGTGTCGGAATTTCGGACAGCTGAAATCGTAGATCGACTACAAGCCGAAGTTGGCACGATTGCGAGACGGAGAATGTAGTGTGACCAGAGCCATTCAAATCAATTCTTAATCTGTAGTGTCAATCTTAGCGCAACGACGAGAACGGATACCAGCGAAGCGAAACAAAATACCCGCCTAGAGACCTAATATGTCCACATTGAAAGTTTTCGTAGCAGTTGCGACAGCAGTCTTCAAATAATAACAGTTACTCCGCATCAAAAGCTTACTCCACCAAGTTCCAGAACAAATGTACACAGAAATGGGGATTACCAATCTCAGTAGCAAAGCTGAAAGTCCTTGTGCTAACGATAAGTGTGGTTCCTAAAGTATGTCTGCCAATTCAGTTTTGGCCCTTTACTAATTCATCTAGTGTTTTTATTAATCAGTCAATTCTTTCATACTAATAGTACCATTACCATTATAAATATGTTACTATGCTCCGCGTTGGCGTGTTGAGTCATGAGAAACTGACTCACTGTATGTCAGTGCGCAGACATTAGCTGAGAGACTGTACTGAACCAAGTCTTGCTCTACAACTTAGAAACCGAAATGATCCCGGATGATTTTACTGTGACAAACTACCATGAATACGATATGGTTGGTGGCATCCGGTTCCGGAGTTGCCTGTCGCTGCGGCCTCCATAAGGCAGATACAGAACACCTACGACTACAGATGGACCATGGGGGACGTGGGCTGCACCACCCACAGCACCAACCACACATCCCATATCCAGTGTAAACCCGAAGGAATAAGACCGGCAGGCAAGTGGACGGGAGCCACGTTTCATCAACGGAGCCGGACCACACTCCATCAACAAGCAGAGCAGAAGCAGTTATGCCTAACTGGGAAACCATGAGTACACGTACACAATGCGGTGTCTGGACCGTAGTCCGCTCCCCACTGAGTGCATGGAACCACTCGTGGAGCCTAGCACGGCCACGAGGACCGTGCACTCCGTCCCCTGCAGCAACGACCAACTGTCTCCTAGAGCAGATATGGACAAGTTAGTGGGTAATAGACAGGTAGGCACCCTGTCGCATCAAGCGCAGCCACATCGGAGATGTCAAGCGACAGCCAATCACTTGAAATGACAATATCAAATAAAATAGATGGAATAAAGCATACGGATATGCCGACGTAGCTTCTCGCGAAATTACCATTTAGAATAAATGGCTTATCAACAAATAGGAAATAAATTCAAGATGTCAGAAAGAGATAAAACATGCCGTAAACACGAAAAGAATTTAACGAAGTTAACCACAGTTCGTGTGCAAGTAAACAGAATATTACTGAGGTAGATATCAAAAAGAGGTAGCAAAATAAGCATTAAACAATACAGTAAACCAATCACCTGAAATAAATAGGCTAAGCACGTAAGCACGCGGTTAATAAATTGAATGGAAGCACATGCAGTGTAGCTACCAACGCTGTGCCGGTTCTGCTATAGGTTCATAGCAATACCCATCGTCGTTTCGATGCTGAGCCTGAGTGGCCTCGCTCGTGGCTTACTAGGCCTGCCTGACTCAAGCACTCGTGACCGCATGTGCTACAGCACCATGCACTCGAAGTCGATGGACTACACTCCAACGGCACCTGCCGTTTCTTCTCCGCAGGCACTAGGGCTTTCTCTTCACCTGGGAAACTGCCTTCGTGATCAGCCCGAACCATGCACGCCGAGCAACCGCTTTCGATTCCCAACACTTGAAATCAAAACTAGAACATGATAGGCTCACCTTGATCTTGTCCTTGTAACGAAGCTTCGGTTTCCCAAAATGCCGCTTCCCCACATTCGGCTGACCATATAACTACTAGTTCGGTATCCACGTCGTCCCTACGGCACACATGACCGAGCCATCTAAGGTATCTTAGTAAATGTATGCAGTCCACTGCATATATTCTACTTCGGCGCAAAACTTCCGTGTCCGCAAATCTGTCGCACCAACCAATGAGCAGAATCCGTCGCAGACATTGTTGATAGGACCGCTCGAGATATCTCACACCTCGCCGGTACATCGTCCACGTTTCGCTGCCGTATAGAAGAACGGACAGCACCATGGATTTGTATACCATCAGTTTCGTGCCAACGGTGAGGTGGTGGTTATGCCACACTCAGCAATCAATCTTCCCGAATGCTGCCGCTGCCTTAAGTACGCGGATAAGAAGTTCACCGTGTTCATCTGGTACTGAGGTGGCGTTGCCCATCCAGTAGAACGTATAGCCCGTACCAGCTTCATGCAACTTACCTGGCTCAGTGAGGCGGGTCTCGCTGAGCGCCGCAGTGTCGATGTTGTAGTGTACCAGTTTCACTGCGACGGGTGCATCGCGTCGCTCGGGACGCTTACTCATATTCCGGTCGAGCAAAGTGTGCATGTTCAAGCACCCAATGTTGGGCGCTCTGCGTGAAGGCATACGATTGCACTAGCGGACAACCGTATGGAAGGTGACGTCCTGGATTGGAGGAAGTAGTGGGCTAGGTGAAAGGGGGACGAGGAGAGTGTGCGTAGGGGAAGAAGAAAGGAGGCATCAGCAGTAGGATGTTTTCGCTTATCTACCCCGCTGTATGCAGCAGATAAGGCGATCCTTTCTATAAGACCACTGCGCGACCGCCGATACAGCATGGATTTATAGTTATCGGCGTAATTCATACTTGGGGGGTTGGACTAGGATACTGCCAAGGGGTCCACACCTGACAAGAGAATGACTCCAGTCCCCAGCCAAAGCCTTCGATAAAGTATACACCCGAAAGGCAGCAGGCCGTTTGCTAGGGGTCAGTGAACCGAGTCACGCGGAATTGTGTGTACCCTGGCTCTTAGCCAGAAGAAGGGTGTAACCCAACTTCCACCCAGCCGTCGCCACGAAGAGGTGTCCAGGACATGAGCCAACAGCATAACATTAGCACCAGCGAATAGACGATCCGCCAGGATATCGTTACCATAAGCCTCAGGGCACCATCGGCTCACCCACCTATACGATATACTGGTTGTTAAAAAAAACGCCGAAAGACTGACCGAAGTATAGCGTTTCACGAGTTTGCGTGCTTTACAAAACTAGACCGGTACGCCACCAATCCACCATAACAGAAAATAAACATTACATGTGGCAGACTCGTTAACTTATTTAAATACATATTTTGGCACATTTACAGAAAAGTTTCTAACTGAGAGACGATTATTGGTGCAGAAAATTAGTACATGAATTGTACGTGATTGCAGAAAGTAGACAGCCCAAATTCACTACAAGTTCCAATTGCCGGCCCGTAGCCGAAAGGTAGAGAGCCTGTCTTGCAATCTGATGGCGCAAGTTCGAGACTGTGTGGGGCAGGGCGACCCTCGCAGTATGCTTAACCCACATGTGACCGGTGGTAGTTGCGCGGCAGCGAATCATCCGTACTGCGTACCGGCCTAATGCTGAGGCCAAATCGATTTGCTTTATTCTGTACAGTTTCTTGGCGAGTTGCGCAGTTACTAGGGCCAAGATGCACACGACAAGTTATTCAGTTACCGGACGTTGGATGCCAATGTCTCACTAGCCTGCTATGGTTGAACGTTGAGCCCATTAGAGACAAAGAGGACTTTCGAACTGCATGATTCAATGCGCTGGATCAGATATCAAGTGTGTCGTCAGTTCTAAGTGAGCCTTAGCAACGTCCACCTTTTTCAACCAGATTGGCCGGGATCGGTTGATTCTGTGCACAAGTTAGAGGATAGATGCTGCAAAGGGACAGAGCCAGCAGTAGGAGAAGTGAAGCAGGCTGCTAGTCGGCTATATAAATGATCCAGATGTTTGCTAGCACAAAAATCTCGTAGAAAGAGTAGATAACAAAAATAGGTTTATCATCTCGAGCAGTCAAATTGCTGAGAGTGCACACTTGTGTGGCATTTAGTGCCGAAATCACCAATGTAGGCGAAATCAACTTACCGGCTAGGAGTGATGCGAACAAAATGTTCGTACACAAGGCTACTTGGAGAAAACAAACAGCCAAACTATCTTAACCGATATGTGCTATATATCGACACCTGGTATAACGAACCAGGGTTTTTCTCTTAACCTGAATTCGTCCATTGACAGAGTCAAACAAGAAAGCTAATGCAGGTGTGACCAAACGCTGCTCAGGTAGGAGAATATATATGATGATGTTAAGAGAAGCCCCTCAGTGGAGCCTAAAAGGATCAAACTAAGGACATTTTCCAGTAATCGAGCAAAATAATCGCACTGGTTGACCAAAATGTTCTCGCACAAGCTAATAATATTAATGGTAAGTAAAGAATGGAAAAGAAAGAATAACGTTCAGGGAGGTCGCCACAAAAATAAATAGCGGTACTCTGACCTATGTGGTCATCTCGTGTCTGGCGGTCAGTACACCGTATGTAGGACTTTTCCTTTTTGATCTACCAATCGGGGAGGGACGGGCTTTTCTCGAATAGCCAGTCAGAGCGGACGGGGCGATCTACAATATGTCATGATTATACACGCAAGCTAAAGATGGCAAACACCTGATACTGTGCCGCCATCTTGGTGACCATAACAAGTGGCGATAGCGTAATTTTGGTCGGAGGGCAAGAAAAACTTACGTCTTCAGTGCAGTAGCTTACTGCAATAATTAAACATCAATAGAAGCAATTTGAAGAAAGAAAAGCACGATTAACCAAGAATATCTTTTAGCGTGTTGCGGTTGAAGTAAGATGAAACAATGAAATGCAGCAGTCCTCAGCGGGTGCGGTCGCTAACAACATTTGTGCGTTTCAATGTGACCTGGATGTTGACGTAACCTTCGAATTTTGGTGCAGATGATACGAAGACGTTTTCCCGTTCGAATACGCTGATGCTGACGATGGATGGAAGTGTAGGGTGCTTGTGTGGAAGCTGGGAACCAAGAAGCACGACAAGTTTTACAAGTTTACTATGCCATAATGCGCTAAAGATTTTTATTTCGACACACTTGTATCTCAGTTAATTGACATCGTTGGTGAACAGTCCTCCTTACTCAGAGCCCGATACAGCTTCATGACGCAAGCAAAGTGCGTGACAGATGATTTCGAGTACCGTCAATCGTTATTGCGAGCGCTTCAGGCTAGAAGAAATCACACGCAGTGCCAACAGCAGCATCCCGCACATGTTAGTAGGGATGAAAACCCATGGTATTGTGCTGCAATACAGTTAAATAAGATAGTAATAAAGGAAGAGAGGAAAAAACGAAAGAAAAAACATTGTTATGCATTGTTTCGTATCATTCATTAACGAGATAGTGGTTGGAGGAGGGGGAGGTTAGGCGGAATGGGGCGCGATAAACAAACTCACAACAGTGACGCCATTTTGGTTGGTTTCTCGTCAAGTCAACAAGTGTGTCTAGCCAAAAGTGTTTATAATCTTCCGGAGCCCCAACGCGGTAGTCGAAAGGCTCTAACTGAGGCCAATTTTGAAGTGAGGGACCTCATTATTCTTGATTACGTCTTCTTCTTCTATCCACACCCCAGTCGTGCAAACAACGTACGTCGCCGGAGTTAGTGTGTTGGTATGCGTAGCAAGTGGCCATCGGAGCCTGCTGCATGAAATAGTACTGCTGGGTGATTCACTCTCTCTGTTCCTGCACCACAAACACGCACATTGCACACAAGATGCTCTCACTACATGTGAGCTAAGCGGTGAAAGCAACCATGATCGAACAAAATAAGCTTCTACACAGCTATCAATTTGATGGGCCAGGTTTCATAACCGGTTGAACAAATGGCTGCATTGTAGACGCTGCTTCCAGCGCGAGATTGGTGTTGCGCCCGTGCTGCAAATGGCGAACTTTTGTTATACGGTTCATGATATTATCTTCAATGCAACAGGCGTTAAAAAAGGTGAAGGCGTAGTTAAAGTTTTTAAAGATTTCTAGCTGATCCACACTTAATGTCAGTGCGGCGGATGGTCTCAGTCAAACCTTTGAGGAAAACTTTGCATTTAGAGGGTGCAAAGCACAGCTCCAAATAGTTGACAGCCAGTGCTAGGGATGGTAGTTCTCGAATTCGCGAATTGCTGTATTTTGAAAAATTTTACGGTGAATAGGTTGTTTTCCATTAAGTTGTGGAATGACTTGTGCCGTATTCATATTTTTTAACATGAGAGCAAACAATAGAGTGACTCAGCGAGTTAAGAATGAACTTCCGGTGCTGACGGAACAGCAGCTGCGTGTCTTATTTTTCTTTCAATGCAAAAAGGGTGGAAAGCCATTTCCATTTAAAGAGCTTCTCGGTGTTCAAGCCCAGTGCGTCGCGATGGTAAACTGGTGGACTGTCTGCCACAAAAATGGGCTCCTTTCTCTCTATGGACGATGACCCACGTGGTAGACGGCTGGAAGCGGCGATTGACGAAAGAAGCATGGCGTTGGTGAAAGCTGAGGTGACGGAGGACCTTCGAATGACATTTGGAAAATCAGTCTCCTGGAGATGAAAATCAAGTCAATGCGAAGAATCTTTACGAAAGAATTGTCAGAGAGCATAATACTACCCAGTAATCTAAGCCAAATTAGAGAGCTAAAATAGGGAACGCTACCTAACGTCGTCAGTTAGATAGCCTATCAGTAAGGCTTCGGAGCAAATGCCGGGAATCGTACTGATACTCAGTTCATATGCTTTGTATTCTGGTCGGTTACCAAACAGGGACCCAATTCTCCCACAATTTCAACAGTATGTTGCTGGGATACAATGTTTCATCAGTGTGAAGCAAGGGGCAGTAACTTGATTTAGTGTCGAGTCACATCTGCCGTATCATAATATTGCTAAACCGACATTTTTGTGGATTTTACATAGAAAATGCTTGCCAGGCGAAAACCCACGACATCTTGGAACATTGTTGCCGAACACTTCGCTAGAACGAGATAATCCCGAACCACACAGCTGGCCGCACGAGTAGATTATTCGGTAAGCCAGCTGAGGTAGTCTGGTCTGGAAACAACAGGTTAATGCATTTGCTGAAAAAACTAGTGGAAAACTACCATTTCATGGTAAAGGTAATGTTACTCTGTGCTAATGAACCTATCTTGACAATGAAACGTTATCCAGCAAATACACCAACTGGTTACTTCGGTGACGACATGCCGATCGGTTTCAAGCACATCACAGGATAGTAGAAGGCCGATACAATGGCCGGGTTACATGTAACACTTCCACACAATGTAACCAAGCGCACAGCGCCTACAGAAACAAGCTGTGGTGTCGGCGCGACATCATACTCGCCGTGAAGAGCAGAGATTGCAAGGTAGCCGTGCGTTCAAACCTCCTGTACGGTTGAGAAATCTGGTCCATCAAGTCGACAAACATAAAGAAGCTAGTTACGCTCGATCATCACTGCCTTCGCAAATTAGCTCATCTTTGGTGAGAACGCTGCGTGAGCACTGAGTGCGTTCGGCGTCGCGAATTTGGTGCAGGAAGAGCGAGTGAAACGTTCAGCACCATTATAGTATGCACCAGGCTCAGACGGCTTAGTCATGTGTTGCGCACACCAGCACACCGCCTCCCGCGACGTGCGTTGTTTGCGCGATCGGGGTCTGGACGGAAGAGGAATGAAGGCCGTCACTTCGAATTTGGCGTCCGTTGGTGTATCCCGACCGCCAGACTGGGAACCGAAGGTCGATGAACACGTCTGGTTGGATGCCAGTTGATATGGCAAGGAGCCGAGCTCAATGTCCTTTGCGTTGTGAGTTTTTGGTCCCCTTCTATTCCGCTTATCTTCCCTCTCCAACCGTGATACACATTTTGAAGCAAACAGCATGTTACCTTTTTGTATTGCATAATGATTTTTATCTCGCTTTTCCGTGTAGCTTTTTGGATTGCGGCAATATGGCTGTATTGTTTCTCAACTTCAGCTAATGTGTGATGATGAGGATTAATATTATTATTGCAAGTACAAGTAATCAGATCAACCGTCACTTCAAAACTGTTCCGAACAAAAGCAAGCTAGAACACTGTGGAGTGTCAGGTTCGTTTAGTGGTTCAAAGAAATGCGATACAAATGGGATTTTAAAAAACGTGTGGGTAGATAACTGAATCCTGTCGTAATCTAAACCCTGCAAGAGGGTTTTGGTAAACAAGCTTGGCCTACGGAGCGCAGTGCCATAGGCGGCATTGCCTCTAATGATTTAACAATTTAAAATAGAGGCTAGATGAAAATCATCGCTATAAGACTGAGTAGTGGCAAAGAACTAACTGCGAAACTCTCAGCAGAGTCGTAGGAGACATGGTTGCACTCACCTGATCTATGCGATCGGACCAACCCAGTCGGTCGATACCAGCTCTGGCCAAAATAACGGCATCGTATTTAGGGCCACCCGCAGTCGTATTACTTTCATCAAGTTTTCTTAGACGAGTGTTTAGATTACCCCGAACGGATACGAAATTGAGGTGAGGATACAAGCGAGTTAGAGTTGCAACGCGCCGGACGGAGCTTGTTCCGATAACAGAACCAGAAGGTAGATCACATAGTTTCCGACCACGGTTAGCGGGAGACATTAGAACAACATCCTCTGGCGAGGTTCTGTCAAAGACACAACCAAGTACTAGTCCATCTGGCATGATAGTGGGTACATCCTTTAGCGAGTGCACCACGAAATCAACTTGTTTATTGAGCAGTGCGTTGTCCAGTTCTTTGGTAAAAAGGTTTTTGTCTCCAATCTTAGAGAGAGCCACGTCCAGAATTTTGTCACCAACTGTGGAGATTCTGGAGACTTCAAACCGCAAGCTGGGATGTTTGAGATTCAGTAAGCCAATAGCGATATTGGTTTGCACAAGAGCGAGCTGACTGCAGCGTGATCCAACGCGAATCGTACTTCGGTTATTATCCGGCATAATGAGGCCTGAAGAGAGCGTGACAATTGACTAACCAGCGCATGAAGTGGAGAAAAGCGATAAAATGAAAAGATGATTCCAAGGTGAGAAGTGGCCTGGGAAGAGTAATTTGTACAAAAACGCAGCAGCTGTTGTATACACCTTTATGCCTGATGTGCGCGTGGTAAAGTGGTCTAGAAGAATCACGACAGCTGCACTCATCGACAGTGTAGTCCGACATGGAGACCAAGGAAAGAAACGGACAAGTGTCGTATACCAGATAGGCCCAAGAGAATCCACTAAGATCCACATCCAATTAGTTCCAAACAACCTGCGGCATAATAACTGGGGTATTTCTCACTCTTAGTTTGTGTGCAGAATAACTATACGTGTACCAAACAACAGTGTAGCTCAAAAAGCATGTAGAATGCATATATGTGAGTAAATAAGAAGTTGGTGATGACTGGGTGCCTACGAAGCAAGTGTAACAATAGATGGAAGTTCATTTGAAGCTCGAGGTAGGTCACAGCTCGTAGCAAGACGGAGATTAAAGCTGTAAAGCTTTAATCTCCGTCTTACAAAATACAGTGGAATTACCAACAATAGCTGAGGGGTGGATAAAATGGTGATGAGGAAATTTTTGCGCGCTAGGGGGATTTGGAAAGCTCAAAGTAAATGCATTTGCCTTGATACTGGTATTGCAGACCCCGACACAGTCACCTTCATAACAAATCATCCACTACAAAGAACGGCATTAACTTTTTAATTGTTGCGTCGCAATCCGGATTCCCAATAGTACCGCACAGCAAATTATAGCTCCGGGGATAAATACACTCCAAGTATGAAACGTATGAGAGTTCGAATGGAACTTTTCCTTAGTTTAACTATTCATTGAGACGGCGGGGTATAAATCTGTCTAGGAAAGGTGGAATGTATAACGCTGAGTTAAGGCCGGTCTTACTGTATGGAGCAGAGACCTGGCGAGTTTACGGAGATATTAAACGCTTGGTGTTCGCGAAGTATCGCTCACGTCTAGTGGGTACAACGGATGAACAATGCTGAGGTCCGCCACTTCGTTTTTCGGTAAGAAATCTTCTGCCTTCTCACTCATGTTTACTGAATCTTAACCGCCTACGTTGACTAAGCCATATCCTCCGTATGCTCGTTGACCGGCTTCCTCAGTGTGTAGTATGCGCCATGGCTGCACCAAGTCGGGTGAAACCGCGAGGTGAACAGTCTATGGCGTGGCACAGTGACATGAAGAAATTGACTGTGACTTGGTCAGATGGGTGCGTGTCGTCTTCGTGGATGGAAGCCTCGAGACGGTCCACGTCAATGGTTGGAGACAGTATCAAACACGGGGTAGTCACGCAGTCAGCGGTATTCCTGCATTCGGTTCATTACATCGGGTTGCTAATTTTCGTTCCATTTTGATTAATTTAATGCAATCCCTTGTTGTTTCCATTTTCTGTGCATTCGAGTTACATTCAACCCCACTATCTTGATGTCATTTATTGTTATTACTGCGATGAGTCATGGCAACCGGATCCACCTCAGCTTGATGCTCGGTCCATAGCTGTTCAACTGAATTGAACTTTCCTTAGTCCACTTGAGCTAAGCCGTTAGCAACGTCAAGATATACCATGTCATACTAGTGACCAACTAAAAAGCTAACCAGCGATAAAGACACCAGCCGGAGTATTAATAAATAATAATAACGTGTCAGCTGTACGCGGTAACAGAGCTTCACCGCCGTGCAACCACCACGTCGCGCGCGGGCTAAGTATCCTGCGAGGACGCCCACCCCTACCCAGATTCGAAATGGTGCGTGCGAGTGCAGCCTGTAGACCTATTTGCCTTGGAGTGCGAATGCTGAACGCTGCTAGGGAAACGGGACGGCGTGGCCTTATAAGGGACTGTTGCTGATAGGCGTCCGACGAGTGCTGTGAGAAGGTGGCTGCGGATAGTTCTACTCCAGTGGCACTTCGGTTGCTGTCAATAAAACTGGGAATTATAGAAAGGTTAGTGATCGGGGTCCGGATGGGAGTAAGAGAAACAGGTGGAAAAGAAAGAAGGAAAACGCCAACAACAGCATGTTTTCGCTTATTCGCCCTGCTGCATGCAGCAGATAAGTCGACCCTTGATAATCTGCGCGACGGCCGATACAGGATGTAGCTAGAGTTTGGATAAATGGCCAAGGATGTATTTAGGCTGAGATACTACCAGGGCGCCCAGATGCAGACAGGAAAGCCCTGTAAACCCTGCACACTCTAAGCGAAAATCTATAATATGAAGTTCGGTTTCTTCATTACTCCTGTGACGGCTTTCCTCATTCAGACGCGCTCCTCTAGGGAGATATTTCAGAGTGCAGGTTCCTCTCTTGAAGCGCGAGCCCCAGATGAGTATGCGTTGACAATTTTCATCCTGGCAGAGGATTTGCAAAGGGCGAACATTGGACCAGTCATCGTGCCATCTGCCAAAGCGAAAAGCAGAAACGAGGTTGATCTCTTGCGTCTCCTAATCAAATAGGGTATAGGCCATCCGCTCAAGGGAGGTTTAGTCATCGAGTATTTTCACAGCTGTTTATTTGTTGGCTGCGGGGACGTTTGAAATACCCAGGCAGGGGTTGCGAGAGGGTTTGTTTCTGTTAGATTTTCACTTTTTCTCGCTATTCCGAAGTGAACACCCAAAACTTTCTCCGCAAAAGTTCTAGCCCAGCCTAAGAATAAAAAGTCAGACGACCTTGACCACGAAAAAGGTGTTGAAACGTGTTAACTGTCAACGTAGCTAAAAATGCCGTCAAAACGCTGTAACACTACGCCAGACATACGCCAAATATATAGGGGGGGGGCTCAATGACCTTCGGCTTCTAGAAAACGGTCAACTGTTAAAATTAGTAGCCTCCCTGCCAAAACTCCGTTTGCTGGTGATCACTGAAGGAATGGAAGGTTCCCGAATCGTCGAAATCAATGCACGATCATTGATAATCGATAACTTGTTAAAGAATTGTTTTCCTTTATGTTTTTACCTTTTCCCGGATACCTCCTGAAACGGCTGCCGCGGTGCATGATACTAGCCTGGGATTGACTTGAAGCCTCCTGGAAGGGGTTCTACGCCTATCGGTCCATTGCCTTGACTGTGGTGTTCTGGATTCAAATTAAGCACCCTGCGGTCTGGTATCATTCGTCTGATGACAGAATTCTTTTACTGACTATTTAGGCATATTGAAGCTGTCTGTCAACAGGTCACATGGAATATCGGCGGATTCTGTTGCTTGTGGCTGACACATTGTTGGTCGCAGTTGGTTTGCATAGCGTGCCCATACCTGCGCTCCAAACAGCATGTAGGAAATGACGCTCCCGCGCTTGCCCCGGATCGTGTCTGACGTCCATTTTGCATGTCTATCCCGATAATCACGTACAAGTACTGGCTGACCCGGTTTAAACGAACGTCGCTTAGCCCCATACCGCCGGGTAAAGTCACGTCCCATCTTGAGGTTCCTTTTTACCAGCTGTGGACTCTGAGGACGGCTGAACTGCCTCAAATGGCATGCGAAGTTTTCTCTTCATCATTGCCTCTGCTGGTGATATTAGATCCGGTGTTTGAGAAAGCGGTCAATCACTTCCTCTATGTCTCCCTCCCTCCTTGATTTGAAGAGAGCGCGTTTGAATGTATCCACAAGCCTCTCCGCTTGGCCACTCGATTGTGGGTGAAATGGTGGAAACCACACATGTTTGATGGTGCAGCGTTGGCAGAAGTCCGCGAATTTGGCCGAAGTAAACTGTGCTCCATTGTCCGTTACCAATGTTTCAGGGCAGCCGAACTTGCTGAAGATTTGTCGCAACCTCGAGACTGTTGCGCTGGCTTTCGTGCTTCTCATGTGGGACACTTCGCGCCACTTGCTGTAAGCGTCGACCACTATGAGAAACTTCTGGCCATTGATTGGGCCTGCAAACTCGACATGAACACGGCTCCAAGGTTTAGTTGGTTTAGGCCACGAGTGGAGTTCAGTCTTCGGCGGTGCCCTTGAAGTGGTAGCGCAACTGCCACAACTTCTAGCTAGCTGCCCCAGCTGTCTGTCCATAAACGGCCAATACACATAACTTCGGGCAAGCGCTTTCATTCGGTTGGGCCCTGGACGTCCTGCATGGAACTGCCGCAGCACTCTTTCTTGCAACGCCTGCGGTATGACTACTCTCTCTGAGAACATGACGCAATCATTCACAGTGGAGAGCGAATGTCTTCGCTGATAGGATTACTGCATTTTGGCGGATGAACACGAACGTAGTCAGCTGGTTCTGTGGAAGTGTGTTAGCTTCTTCAGGATTGGGTCTCGAAGCGTTTCGGCCCGCCAACATCAGTCGTAACTGGCAGACCATGTAGTGCCTCGCTTACCAGAAATTCGACATCAGGTTCGATCTCAACTGAGGCAATGATGGTGTCCTCGTGTTCTTGCTGCTGAGAATCAACGAGACGTGACAATGCATCTGCCTGGCCCATCGAATCCGTTGACTGATAACGGATTTCAAAATCATAGCCCAGCAAGGTGAATGCCCATCGTTGGAGTTTACTGGCTGTATAGGTAGGAATTCCCTTTTTAGAGCCGAAAATGGACAGCAGCGGCTTGTGATCCGTCAAGAGTTTGAAGCGGCGACCATACAACATCTTGCGAAATTTCTTCACAGCAAACACTATGGCCAATGTCTCCTTCTCCATCTGACTGCAGGTTCTTTCGGCTTTCGTCAGTGTCCTGACGGCATGTGGGATCGCCTCCTGAGATCCATCTGGGAACGTATGGTAAACTACGGCACCGATCCCCAGACTCGATGCGTCTGTGTCAAAGACACTTTCCCGGGAGGGATCAAAGTGAGTTAAGAGTAGGTCTGAAGCCAGCAATGACTTGACCCGCTCGAACGCAGTCTGGCATTCAATTTCAGGTCTGGCCCTTGCTCAGCAACTTATTCAACGGGGCACGCAGGCGCTGCAGTTCGGGTAGAAAAGCGCTGTAATGACTGATTAGGCCACAGAAT